TTCAAGTGCGTGAAGATATTTCCTAAAGTAGTACCACCACTTCGTCAGGGAATAGCAGTTATCTTGCATGTATTAAAAATATATGTATAAGTAAAATAAATGAACAAAATAAAATAAATAAATAATCTTGCCTGCATCCTGAAGTAGACAAACAACCGCAAGAGGACAAAGCTGATTCCACCAATTGATGTCACCAGAAATGGGGAGAGGTCCGGGAGATTCAAGATGAAGCTGGAGAATTCTGTACCGTCCAAAGCTGTCGCTGCTGCCGGCGACAGTCTTCTCTGGTGCGAGGCCCCCATTTGCCTCCTGCATACAATATAATTCAAATTAATTATTAAAAAAGTATTTCTTTTATTTTTTTAATGCATGCATGCATTAAGGGCTCTACTCAAATGTTAAAAAAAAAAAAAAAAAAAAAAAAAACATAACTAGAGTGAACGTCAGAATGGTACACAAGACAACCATCATGAGCAAGGACGCATGGAGAACGCTCCTCGACAGCATGATGGTAAACAGAACAGACATGAGCCGATATCCGAGTAGGGAGAGGAGAAAGGGAAAAGAAAATACGGTAGAATAGGCGGATAATAAGCATATGCTGGAATATAGGACATAGGTTAATTATTTAAATCCGCGGCAAGTACTGGGCACAGTATTTTCTGATAAGCACGGTCAGGCACGGTAGTAACCGATCCCATGAGGGTATTTTTGCAAGTACCCTCGTAAGTTCTGGGAATTTCTTGAATTTCTCGTTTCTAGGCATGTAAATTATTGTACTTATTGTAATTTCTGTATATCTTGTATTTCTTAGCCACTGTAATTTTGTATTTAATTACTGGAATTTTGAATTTACTTGGTAGGCAGACGCGGGTACGGATTCAGACCCGGAGGAATTCTCCCGCTTGCTCAACTGTGGGCAGCCTCCCTATCGCAAAGACTTAGTTCAAAATACACAGGAAGTTCAGTTTCGGGCCAACTGGAGGGGGCGCCGCAGGGCAACCGGTAGTAACCGCGACCGGATTAATAGGGCACCGGATTAATAGGGACGGGGATATGAGACACGTACAGGCAGGGGAAAGGACCTAGGAGGGGGCACGAGAAAGTAGGGGGAGGAAAAAGTTCGGGGAGGAAGGAATCACGGATTTGGGAGGGAAAGTGTGGACCTGACAACTCAGATTTCAAATTCCGATTTCCAGGACTTACGTGGCGGGAAACACACACGAACTACCTGGGAAATCCCTCGAAACCTAGGCTCTGCGCGGGCCGGGCTGCCTGGATTCCCCTCGTAGGATGCTGCACGGGGTCTGGGCAGACACCTCCGATCCTAAGGTTACGAGGGATTTCCCTCCTGAATCCAGGCAGCCCGGCACGCGCAGAGCCTAGGTTATGAGGGATTGCGCGGCTGCACGGGATCTGGGCAGACACCTACGATCCTAAGCAGGATGGTACTAGCCAATCCGCATGCACAGAAGAGCAAGGCAGCGCGTGCAACAGGGAGGCCGAGAGTATAAGTCGAGGGCAAGACCATATAGGCCCTCACAGCTCAGTGGGTGGTAGAGAAAGGTGGGCCGAAAGGCGAGAGGGTTTGCCGAGAGGCCTCCTGATGAGACCGGGGGGCACCCGGTTGAAACATGTAGAGGAACGCATGCGCGTATGAGCAGTATACACGCTGGAAGGAAACTGTTTTTTTTTGGAATGTGTGTGAAGAGCAATCTGGCCATTGCTTACCTTCTTCTTCTTCTAGGTGTCCTAACACATACATGAATGAATGTACTCAGGAGAAAAAAAAAATAATAATAAAATTAAAAAAAAACATGAATGTACGTCTCCGAGCTTAACTTTCATCCCAGATCACTTATCCTATCGGTTAAGTGTCCTCCTAGCCAGGGGAAGGTTGCATGTTCGATCCTCCAATAGGCGCGCTGCACTACCATGAATGTACAGTTAGTAAGCAGGTCATCAGTATACATCTGAATCAGATGAATGCACTCATGTTACGGGCTAGCCTCTCTCCTCCGAAGGACCCGAAAAAAAAAAAAAAAAAAAAAAAAAAAAAAAACTTCCTTGAGATTTCAAGTAAGGCTATTTTAACCACTTCTTTGAGATTGCAACTTTACGACGGCTGGTTTACCATTGTTCCCCCCGGCCTCCTCCCCCCCGGCCTCCTTCCCCCCCACTCCTCCCCCCCTTCTTCCTCTCTCTTTCTTCCTCGTCCCTGCCTCCCCTCTTTTCCTTCTTTGCCTTACTTCCTTTAGCCTCTTCCTCTTCTCTCCTCCTTCCTTCCTT